TAGTACTTTTGAATCTGTTTACTCTTCTCAAATGCTTATATAGGATTATCTTCAGCATGATTTACTTATAAAGATTGCCATATTATTAAACTTGAGAATTTTGGAAACCTTTGTTACGTCAAATATGGATATGATTCGTCTTTTTTTTTCCCTCAATTATGTGGAAAATGCTTTAAAATCAAATGACAGCTGGAGGATAGTTGACCTTTTCTCATAATGGAAACTCTTAAATAATTTGACTTATGCTGTTTCATATCATGCGGCGAGTAGTTATGTTGAACTTGTTTCTATCTTGTATTTAATAATATATCATAATATATTAATTTGCAATTTGTGAATATCACTGCATTAATTCATTACCCTCGGAACAAGATGGATGACATCAGAGGAAATCTTGCAGTTTCTCAATTCTCACATGAGTTAAACATGAGATAACTTTCTCTTTTTGCTTTCAATATGTATATATGTGTGCTCACATGCATCTCAGCACGTCTATCCTATGAAATATGGGTTACTCTGATCACGGTGGGTGCAGGTAGGCTAGCTCCTGGTTGTGCTGGGCCTTCTTTTGTGTTCTAACTAGATTTAAAGCAGTTTATTACTGTTGTTGATGTAATATGATGTTCTTGAAACCAAATTACTTCTTAAAGTTAGGGTCTGATCGTTGTCAAAATGTGTTTAACTTAGTTGCTGAAGTTATTTGAGTCTTCATTCTTCTATAAATTTCTTCCCTTTGTGAGGGCATGAGTTGGAAAGATACCTGTTAAAAGTTTTACTAGAAAATAATCTAAGAGTGATCAAGTGGTTTGAGAATCATACAAGTTCAACTGGAGTTGGTTGACATTGGAAGGAAGGCGTGTCTAATTGAGGCAATGATGCAACTAGCAAAAGCATTAGAAGAGTTGACAATATATCCTCTTTTCCATTGTTGGACTTGGATATGATGCCTCTTTTCTATTGTTGGACTTGGATACTTTTTTAGTATGGTATACAATGGCACATTTAGCTTTATTTTTATATTTGTTTGACATTTTTAGATATTGTGTTTATGATAATTTTTAATTACATCATCTTTATTTTGAATTTTAAATTTTAATGCATATTTTTTTTTATAAATTTTGAATAGGAATTGTAGATGTCAATTAATAATTTAGTTGTCACCGACAAAATTTGGTAAAAATTTCCCACAAAATTTTTTATTGGTAAATATAATTTATTGTGACAGATTATTCTATTAATAACAGAATCTGATAAATTAGTGACAGATTTTTTAATTAGTGATAGAAATCTTTAAAAATCAGTGACAAATTTTTTTATTAGTGATGGAATCAAGTAATTCACAAACATAAGTTGTAACAAATTTAGTGACATAGTGCCTCAATAGTGACTAAAATTTGTGACAGAATTAGTGATAATTGTCTTGTGTGATAGAAAAGAGTGACAAGGTTCTCACATTGTAACAAATGCTAGTGACGGAACCCGAGACAACATTATCACATTGTGACAAATACTAGTGATGGAGTTAGTGACAAAATAGATTTCGAGACATAGTGTTGTTACAAAATGAGTTACAGTGTTTTACAACTGTGACAGAATATTGTGACAGATTTAGTGATCGTTTTCTTAAATCTGTGACAGAATGGACCGGCAGTTGCCCGGATTGATAAAAACTTGTGACAGAAATTACATTAATTTGTGACAGTATATCCGTTACTAAATACTGATGGATTTGAAAAAATTTGTGATAGAAGTATCGGTGAGGTGACTTTCAGTGTGGGAAAATATCTGTTACTCATTTCTATTTGTGACGGATTTTGGCCTTTCTATGACAGTTTCTTCTGTCACAGAAATCAATTTTTCTGGTAGTGATATAAGTTAATAGTTCTCTATGAGTTGGTTATGTTTCCATGCTTGAACTAGGTCCCAATTTAGATGTTATAGATGTAGATTTTCTAGTGTATCTTTTACCATGTTTTTCTAGTATTTAGTCAGGATATTGCTTTTCTGATTCTCCAATTCCACCAGGCTGGATTTGATTACATTGCAAGATTTCAGGGGCAGACATGTGGCAGCCTCATAATGAACCTGCCAAGTACTTCAGAAGCAGATTTTGAAGCTCCATGTTTTGACTACTAAACTTACTTTCTTAATCAAATCCAAGCTTTTTAAGTCACAAGTAGGAAAAACTTGACATTTTTTGAATGATTTGCCTAAAGTATCAGAATCCAAAAACTGACATATTTTACTGATTTCCTTAGCTGGGAATTGGCCGTTTGATTTTGTATATTTTTCTGGTAGGTGAGGTGCTAATTGCTTTGTAAGTTTGCTTTTATGTTGACTTCTGTAAATATATGTCTGTATAAGAATAAAATTAACATGTCTTCTTAGGAGAATTCGTGGTGAGGACATAATACTTACCTCTCAAAAAAAAAAAAAAA